TCAGGCTGTACAACCACCACGGCCCCTGGTAGACCCCCAAACACACACAACAAAGACTATAACACCCCATTTTGTGCAATACTACTTATGTGCAATTCATATACCGTAAATAACCGTGCAATATATACTTCCACCTTTAATACTTCCACCTGGCTGCTATCTCAAAACTATACTGGTACTGGATGTGTATTTTGTAAATTGTGTAATTTCTACTTTTATTTTAAATATTTGTATGCATGCTTCCTAATTATATGAAGCTATCTGTACTTACTGTAACAATGTACATTTCCTCCTCTTTGGGACAAATATAGGTATTCTGAAGACTGGATTTAAGTAAAAACACAACAACAAATCTTTAACTAAGAACTCCCAGTAAGTTGATCATTATTATAACAACAATGCACTGATAGCTTTTTCTTTGATTCCTCCAGTCTTTCCAGGGCAGGATGACCAGAATTCCCGCCGTCAGCAGGTTCCTGCAGCCCGGCAGCAAGAGGAAGCCGCAGCCAGACGATGTGTACGTGAAAACCATCATGGAGGTTTTCAACATCAAATCACCATTTCTGTGAACTCTGTCCTCCTCTCACAGGCAGGGTGAATGATTGATAATGCAAGGACAGCATTTTGTCCAGGAGAATCGACTATATTTCAATACTTCACTAACCATCACGAACGTTAGCATTAGCTCGACTGGAATCTATGTAGTTTACACTGAATAAATATTTGACTAACATTTAATGGCTGCTGTGTTTCTTTGTTCATTCAATGACAGGATTTGTATAATATCCACAGTTTACATAAAAAAAGTCATTATTTTAGGATTTGTTTATTTTGTTTTCCCATGAATACAAAAATCACTAACTTATTGACAGTAAATATCATTTGAAGTTAAAGACATAGCATGTGAACCTTCAAGAATACATATGTTGGCGTCCCTATTTCAGTAATTTAAAACCGTGATAGTATTAGCAGCCAGCAACACCGAAGTTGTAGTGAATAGAGTTAGCCCCCTGCCAACATAAGCTCATGTACATCTGCTAATCTTAGAGCATGACATTTACATTCATGCACATATAATACAAGAAAAAGCAGTTATTTATATAAGATCACCAAAGCAGACTTACTGCACTAATATACAGTATGTTGTTAATCTTAAATCTGTAAAACACCTACTGGTAACTTTGTTTCTGGTCACATGTTAGTTAAGTAATGATACCAAACAAAAGGCTTGTTTTAGTATGCTGGGAATGCTGTTCATTCAAACAAGGCTGGTCCATTGATAGAGAGAGAGTCAGTCCAGCCTGTCACATCATGAGGGATAGTAACAGCCGAAACACCATCAACAAACTGTAAGAAAGAGACAGCAAATCAAAAAGTAATACATCATTGTCTGATATTTTTACAATATAATAGTAATATTATATAAAATATAGAAAGAATATATATAAATTGTGCAATACCTAGTCCTGGTTATACACATTTACATTAATTAATTAACTTGTTGTGATGTTTATCAAGTTGAATCACACCTTAGCCCTGACATGATGCCAGCAGGCAATATTTTCCCAGATTTCTTGTATCTCATTCCCATCAGGACCGAAAGGACTCCAGCAGTTACTGAAAGTAAGAAAACACCATGAACTAAATTCAATACTCTGATTTATATTTGTATTTATTTGGGACATGCTCAGCTGTACTCACGCAAAGAGACCTTGATGTCCTTTGGGTCATAAGAGATGTTGAATGCACCATAAGCAGAAAACCCACCAAAAACTAAACCGGCCATCAGGGACATCACGCTGCCTACAATCACACGGGGACACACAATGATTATCAGGGCTCATGTTTTACCTGACACATACTTTTCGTAAGGATTGATGCCAAAATGAAAAGGGTTTAACCTTTTCTAGAGTAACCCATATATCCTCCAAAGGCGATGGCGAGAGCATAGCCAAATCCAATCCAGTCCACTGCCATCTCAAAACTGGGAACAAGTGCAGTACAGGGTGAGGTACGATTAGTAATAATGTTGAAGTAAGACTTTATTTATTTAATCTAATTGTTTATTTGGCAGGGACAATGCACAGTAATGAACACTTAAAACATTAAAAATGTGTCAAGCGTAACAGTGCCAGATTTAGCTTTGAGCTAATTTCCCTCACATAAAACATTTAAGAAAATTACATTTTACAAACATAGCAAAAACAAAATACATGATATGCAAAAAGTGCAAAAGAGCAAGAGCAGCATATACACGTATTTACCACATGGCAGTACAATATAGCAGCTACGACATATAAAGTGCAAGAGGAGATAAAAGAGCTACTTAAAGTGCAAGAGGAGATAAAAGAGCTACTAAAAGGAGATACCCCTGTATTAAAGTTCATTTAGCGGTGATTGCACGTCTGGTTGTTTCTCAACCATTCTTTGAAGTGACCTTTGAAGCTATTGAGAGTGGGACAATCCCGTATCTCAGTTGGGAGGCTATTCCAGAAAGAGCTGCCTTTAATGGAGAGTACATTTTGTCCAAAAGTGGTCCATACGGTGGACCTCACAGTCTCCAGTTTCTGACCTAGTGCAGCGTCCAGTGTGTTTTCTGTGGATGAATTCCCCTAAGGGAGGGGGGGCCAGTCCATGTAAACATTTATAAATAAAACACATACTTTTAAAAGACTTAAAATGGTCAAAACTCAAGAAATTGTGTTTTTCAAGGATGGCTAACACCTTGATAGCTCTCTTGTACAGCTGTTCTATGGGTTTCAGGTTTGTGGCACAAGCAAACGACCAGTTTGTAAAACAGTATTCAATGTGGGATAGAATCATACAGTGGCGGTATGACTTTGCAGCATTGGCAGTTAAGAAAGGTCTAATTTGTTTAAAATGTTGCAAGTTGAATTTAATGGTATTGGACACTTTCTTAATATGTTTCTTAAAAGTCAAGTTTGAGTCCATTATGACTCCAAGATACTTGAAGTGGGGGACTAGTTCTATTTCTGCTCCGTTTAAAAACACATTGGATCCTTCGATTTTGACTGGTCGTTTACTGTTTTTTTTGCATTTAACTGTAAGCAAATGTTGTTCAGCCAGTGTTGAACCTTTAAGCAGCAAACCAAATCAAACAATGCCAAATTAAACAGTATTTTGAGCTTATTGAATACTGAAGTTAAGACATTTTGGAGAATTAAGTCCTTGCAAACGAGTAGCAAAGCTAGGATATAGGCGTATTAGATTTTAAAACTGGCAAGTTTTTATTTTCCTAAACTTTAAACAGAAAAATAAAAACAACTCTTGATAAAAAAAAAACGTTTTGTCTTGCTTTACTATTCTTTGTGACATGTAATGTTTCAATAGAGTTCTGACATCTATTTTAGAAAGTATGTGACGTTTAGTCTAATTGTATTTGTGATGGAAGTATTTTCAATGAAAAATAAAGAGGTTTAAAATAATTGTATAATCAATATAATTCTTATTATATATATATATATCAGCAAAATAACATGTTTTTTGTTTCCTAAATGAAGGATCAAACCCGTTTTGTCAATGCAAATCACCCTTTTTTCCACTGCACTTGTACGTAAGTGCTTGACCCCATTATCTCCCCGCAGTAACTGTGACAAACCTCTAGGTGTCGCTCTGTGAGACTCTAAAATCACAGCAGATGAAGCGATTAAGACAAACAGCTCTACACGCACGTATTTTAATAATTGACCTAAAGTGACATACGTTTTGTTATGATATTATCTTTCTGCATTAACTCACCTGGTCCTGGTAAATATTACATACCTTTAGTCGAAACAAGTGAACAGCAGCACTTAGAAACCTCCAGTCTGTGACTGCACTTCCGTGTTACTGCCACTGCCCACAACACGCATGCGCAATTTGGTTTGTGCTGTGTTCAAATACTTTTGATAAAGAGGGAAAAATGATACACGATTGAAAACATTACAAATCAATTCCAGTAGAGGACTAGTTTGTTTAGCTATTTAGCACCACTTCCCCTAAGTCAATATTTGAAAGGTATCTTGCGTTATACATGTAATATTTATGCAACAGAGCATTCTTTGTAAAAATGATGTCAGTAAAAGTGAATTTCTCGTTGGCTTGATTTGTTGTCAGTGCATGTTTTGGACTGAAATTGTTTTACTAATTGTGGAGATTAAGGTCAAATAGAAACAAATGGTGAACATTTAGTATGAATATCACATACATAAACCGTGAATTCTTCAGATTTTCACCAGAAATGTTTTATACTTGTATCATCAGAGATGTTCTGAATTGTGCAGAACCAATACTGCAGACATCTTAACTTCAGTCACCTTCTGTACCAAACAAAATGTACCTACATGTAGGTAGTTGTAATCACATCGTGTTTGATCAATATGAAAATTATCATTCTTTAACTAGCCATAAAAAAAAACTGGATTACCAACCGGGCAACTTTTACAATTGAAAAGCACAAAATTCACAGCATACACATTTGTTAGAGAATACTTGTCTAAATCCAGTTGTAAAACCTAAATGATTAACATTTGCTCATAATTTAAATTACCATTTAATTTGCACATATGTAGTATTATTTGAACATTGCGTTTCTGGTTGGTCCGTTTCAATGCCCACAGTAAAACTACATGTACTAACCAGAGTAATACACAATGCACAGTAGGCAGTCAGTGGGGTGTGCAGGTGGAGGAGTGGACATTATGGGACAAATAGAAAATGTAATCTGGTAATAGTCTCTCCCTCTTGACACTTAAACCCATTGTGCAGCAGGAGTTATTTTTTTAATTCTTGCTCTGTTCATTAAGTTTCTTAACATAAAAAATATAGTTCAGTGTAAATAAAAGAAAGGCATGGAGTCGTGCATAAGGCATTTCCATTTTTCATTTGATGTGAAAAATGGCACCCTGGCATGTTTACCAGCACACAGAAGTAAAACATTGTGCAATCAGATATACTTTTAATAATTTTGTTTTCAGAACAGTAAATCAACAAGAGAAAACTTTACTCTCCAAAGAAAACCATTTTATTTCACTCTACCCCATTTCCAGAAATCACATACATTAAAGGATTCATCGTTTGATAATAATAATCTTCAAAAAGTGAAAATCAATGCATTCTTCAAGCAAAATAAGCCACTATGAACTGTAGACAATGTGACCGCAGGCTTCCATGCAGTCACCCGGTGGAAAAGAGCCACTGTGGGCCTCGTGAGAGAGAGGGCTGAGGACCAACTCCTCCAAAGAGAAGGCACACATTTCCAAAATACGTTGGCATCTAAATTCGGTCTATATAGAGGTTTCCTGATGAGGTACAGTCTGATCTTGTCAGGATAAAAATGACTACAAAATGGCTGACAAGAGGCATTTAAGAACGAGGAAGGATATTATTCAAGTGAGGTATCGGAACGACATGTAAAAAGTATGATTTACTGTACCATGAGAAAAACATATCAGACTAACTCTACACAAGGACGAGACAGCAAACATGTAAAGTGACTCGTGGAAAAATGCAATGGTTTCAGTACAGTAAACAACAACAATGGACAATGCTTTAACATTACAGTGACATTTATAATACAAATGGCTTCGAGTGCACAGGAACCTGTGATATACATGGCTTTGTCAGCTTTTTGCTAGGTAGACACTTTCGTGTGAGCTGTAACATGGTATTCAAAGTAGTAAATGCATATAAAAGTTATGGAACTCTGAATAAACCATTATAAAATAACTCATTATTATGTATATAGGCCCCAAGAAAGTTTCTTTGCTGTCATCCAGGCTGGCATTAAACAAGTATTGCTCAAAATAAAACACGTGTAGAACATCATGATAAATAACACCGGGTTTTGGCAAGGATCTACATTTCAAGGTTAAAGCAATATCGGAACAGTTGTTTTTAAACACGCATTCTTCCATGTGAGCTCACTGTGGTGTCTGCCAGTGTTTCTGCAACAAAGACTCAAAGAATATTTGTCAAATCAAAATCTTGGAAATAAAAATAAAACATTTACTTTATCATTATGCATAAATGAGACTGTTTAACAGCTACATTCATCATCAGAATATAAAACAAAGTGACATCTCGTTAATATTTATGGTAAACAATGCAGCTGGTGTTTATGAGCCCTTATAGGGGACTGCATGCTATCTATGTTTGTTTTACTCTTGTAAAAATATCACTTAAAATGAGCAAAGTGCACTAACCTCTGAACATGGGACTTGGCATAAATAACATTACAACCAATGTCAAAGAGTCAGTGCACTTTAATAATTAATGATGCATCATCAGTAGGCTGGTGTACTCTCAGCTACATGGAGCAGCTGAACATGATCATTAAACATGTTTGTAGCCTAATTTATTCTCATATATATATATATATATGTATATATATATATATGTCATATATATGTCATATTTAAAACTATATTTAAAGCCAATGCTTGATGGGAAAGTAAGCATGCATGAAGAATACTAATTTGGCTAAATCTGATTGGGGGAATTCTTTTAAGATAAGTATATATCATTTATTTTTATTTGATAGTAGATTACAAGGGCTATTCTGAGGAATCTAATACTTTTCACCATATCCACTGATTCTTTCCTTTTCCTCATTTCAGGCTGCAAATCCAAGTAACGCGAGGTAACAAGTAGCACAAAAAGCTTGACATTTCTCCGTATCTCTGTTCAACTTTAGCTCAAGGTCAACACTGAGCAAGACATGAGGGGTAAATCTCTGAGCCTCTTAGCAGTCGCTGCATCTGGAACACACCTCGTGTTGTAGCGATGCAGGGAAATGGCGAGGTCTCTCCATGGCTTTTGTGCGTCTCATGGTGGCAGCAGCAGCAGCTGCCTGGTTAGGGGAAAGCGTTGACCCACAGCCAGCCCAGCAAAGTCCCGTACAGCCAGGTCGCCACGTACACCTTCCTGCCGCTCTCCGTCAGCAGCAGCGGCAGTGTCAGCCCACCCAAGATCACCATGGACGGGAGGGTTTTAGAAAGGCTCAGAGGAGAATGTTTGCCTTCCCCCGGGAACGTGCGTATTTTGTCTGCATCCTCCGACTCGTAGAAGTCCGTCAGCAGCCTTTGAAAAGACAGATAACTCTCTTAGGACTTCAGCACGTCTCAGAAAAGCACGAGGGTTACACAGGTTAAAGAGGAGGTTGCAGAAATGTGTCCAGGTTAGGATTTCTACAGCAGTTACAGCACAAAAACTGCACCCAGACCCCAGTGTGATTTTGGTGGATTGATTGATGTTGTCAATGTTGGGATCAAACTTAGCACACTGAATATATGAACGACAAAAACTTTTATTTCATTAAACTTCTGTCCTTTACAGTCCATATCAATGATTTCTGGACTTTTTATGTCAAGCCCCTTGAGTAAAACAATCTTAGGGTCGCAATTCATTATTATTTTGATCCTCAGATAAATCAGAGGATTATTATTTTGATTGCTCAATATTTTGTGTGATAAATGCCATTTGATATACCAGGTTAACGAATTCTTATGTGTTGCTTTGTCTGAACAGTCTAGAGTCAAAAAGCTTAGAAGAATTAGAAAGGCAGAACATATTCATGTTGGCTGCAACAAGAATAAGATTAAGTATTTATTCCTTTAACAAAATGACTTAAACTATAAATAGATGTATTATTAGCTTCAGATTCATCCAGCAACCACTTAAGCTGTAATTCTATCTGCCATTAAATATTTTTGGCAAACCAACTTATATTTGAATATAATATTTAAAACACGTCCTTTGTTTATACCAATGTTACTGGCCCCAGAATCACAGGTCTATACAAAAGGGAACTGCATATACACGGATTTAAAGAACGAGTTAGAAGACGGTATTATTTTTAGGATATGTTTTTGAAGCCAAGCTACACATCTGTGCATAACACTGGTGGTGTGCGGAAGCAAAACATGTAAAAACATAACTGCAGTTCACTTATTGATTGAATAACATGCAATTTAAAAATGATTAATTGTTCCACACACAGACACACACATACACACTTACCGGTCCTTGATTTCAAACCGCTCATGCAGCCACCTGCGGAAAAACAGTGGCTCGGAAGGAATTTCCTTTATGTCCACGCGGTCAAAGTATATGTGGACTCGGGGACATTCTTTGCACAGGAATTCTGTCAAACACAGAAAAATAAAGTGACTAAACAAAAACAGGAAAAGCCATTCAGCAAAACGGCACGTAGAGTAAGCGCTTAAAATCAACACAAGGTGACAGTGATGGAGTGGAGCTGCTGGATGTGAAGCCAAGGCCGGGCACGAACCACTGCCTGTTGGTCACTCCGGTGAACCACAGTTTCATAAGTCATTCATAGACCAATACGTATCTCATATCTACACTGAACAAAAATATAAATGCAACACTTTTGTTTTTGCTCCCATTTTTCATGAGATGAATTCAAAGATCTAAAACATTTTCTATATACACAAAATAACCATTTCTCTCAAATATTGTTCACAAATCTGAACAAATCTGTGATAGTGAGCACTTCTCCTTTGCTGAGATAATCCATCCCACCTCACAGGTGTGGCATATCAAGATGCTGATTAGACAGCATGATTATTGCACAGGTGTGCCTTAGGCTGGCCACAAGAAAAGGCCACTCTGAAACGTGCAGTTTTGCTTTATTGGGGGGGTCTGGGGGGGTCCGAAAACCAGTCAGTATCTGATGTGACCACCATTTGCCTCACGCAGTGCAACACATCTCCTTCGCATAGAGTTGATCATTAGTTATTTTATTAGGATCCCCATTAGCTGGTGCATAACAACAGCTAATCTTCCTGGGGTCCACAAATAACATAAAACATGACATTCGACAATACATTGCAAGACAATGATACAAATCGTGTACGGCGTCAATTTTCCTTCAAACAGTGACTTTCATATCAACCATCACATACAGCTTATTTTCTGATTCCCTATTTCCTTGGAATTTTTTTTTTTTTAAATAAAAAAATAATAATAGTGATTTTCCAAATGTCTCCCTTCGCTTCTTTTAGAGTAAAACAAACTAAACAAATACAATCCTCATCATAACTGTGAAAGGCTGTGTGTTTGTCTATGTTAGCGAAAGTACCATATTCCTGCATGTGTTTAAAAAACCTATATGAATCGGTGTGCTGCTGTATGTTTACCATAACCTGTCTGCCGCTTGTGTAATTTACAGTCTTTGGGCTTCTAGATGCCTCTTCAATCGTCTTTTGAAGCTTGCTTTAGTTGTTTCTTTAGAAATCTGATCTGGCAGTGTGTTCCATGCAGCCATGGCTCTATACAGCACTGTGCTCTTCATAGACTCTGTTTTGGCTTTAGGGATTTGATAGCAACCTCTTGTGGCATGTCTCGTTTTATATGTATGGATTTTAGAGCTAGGTGTTGCTTATATAGACAGGTTGGATGTTTCAGCTCATTTATGTTTCTCAAAAAGACAAGGAGTGATACCATCAGCCTCTCCGTGACTAATGTCCAGGAGAGCTTGACATGCATTTTGTTTACATTATGTCTTGGTGTACACCTAAGGGCAAGCCGAGCTGCTCTGTTTTGAACCAGTTGCAGCTTTCCCAGGTCCCTCTTGTTTGCCCCTGACCAGATCATTGAGCAGTAGTCCAGTTGTGAAAGGACTAGAGTCTCAATGACTTGTTTTGTCAGTTGCGGTGGTAAAAACACTGAGCACCTCTTGATGACAGATATATTCCTCCCCATCTTTGCCACCACTGACTATGTGTTTCGTCCATGATAAATTGTTCACTCGGATGAGTCCCAGGAGCTTTGTTTCCTCCACCTGCTCAACCTCTACATTATTCAGCATCAGATTCAACTGCGGTTTAGACCTTAGTACGTAATTTGTGCCAAATACAATACTTTTTGATTTTTGAATGTTGAGCACTAATTTTTTGCTGGTCACCCATTCCATTACTGTTTTCAGTTCTTTGTTCAGAATATCAGTTATCTCACCGATTGTGGGAGCCTGTGTATATCAGGGTATCCGCTAGGATTTTTTCTCGCCGGTCATATGTCCGGGCAGAATTTATTTTATCGGACAAATTTGAAACTTACCGGTCATATTTCAATAATAATAATAAGAGTTGTGTAGCAGAGTTTCCGTTAGCAGGTAATTACCGGACTATGACCGGATATGCTGATGTTTAAAACACAGTTAATGGGCTCATTTTTATATTGCTTCAGTTTATAATCGTAACAGATCGAAAAATTCAGATTCATTTTCCAATAAATTATTCCACAAACAACAAACAACATAATTATTACATTCAAACAAACTACTTGTAGTAGATGAAGTACATTATTCAACAGTTTACATTAACTTTGAATAATAACACGGGAGAAACGGATGCTCTCTTTTCCCCTCTCCCTCCCTCTCACTCTGACAGCCCGTCAGTTTCTCATGCAGCTCCTGCAGCTCGCTAAACAGAGGGCGGGGCTTCAGGTGATTATGCAGAGCTGCGTGTCTCGGTCAGACTCAGCAGCTGATCTGATCTCTCTCTCGCGTCCGGTTATACTTCACTCGCGTTTATGACCATATCGATCAGATCCAGCTCTCCTGATCGGCCTTTATAGAGAGCACCGATCAAACTATTAACAGTGAATATCGGCCGATAATGACCGGCGGCCGATCTATCGGAGCCTCCCTAATTATTATCAGACATTTTGACCGGCAGGTTTTGAATTTACCGGTTTTTAATAAATGTTACCAGCTAAAAACCGGTAATTACCGGCTAACGGAAACCCTGGTGTATATATTGTCGTGTCATCCGAGTACATAGAGACTTGTGCTTTTTCAAGAGCTAATGGAAAATCATTTGTAAAGATTGAGAAGAGTAAAGGACCTAGTGAACTTCCTTGTGGAATTCCACTTGCAACAAATCTAGCACTAGAGATACTGCCATTAAAGTATACACTTTGAATTCTGTTATATAGATAGCTTTCTAGCCATGATATCGCCTTTGGGACAAAACCATAACACTCCAATTTGTCAAGTAAAATTCTATGGTCTATCAAATCAAAGGCAGCGCTATAATCTAATAGTACTGCTCCCACCATTTTCTTCACATCAATCTCTTTCATCCATTGATCTATCATTTGTGTTAATGCTGTGGCTGTTGAGTGACCCTCTCTATACGCATGTTGATACTCACTCATCAGACTGTTAACAGAAAAATAGCATTGGATTTGATTGAATACAATTTTTTCTAGTAGTTTGTTTAGAACAGGTGACAGGCTTATTGGTCTGCTGTTAGAGCCAGTGAAGGCATTCTTTGCATTTTTAGGGAGTGGAATAACTTTAGCTAATTTCCAGATTTGCGGGCATGTACCTTCCAGACTCATGTTAAAAATATGACAGATGGGTGCAGCAATGAACTTGGCTACATTCTTTAATAGCTGACCATCTAAGTTATCAATACCTGGTGGTTTATCATTATTGATTGCCAACAATAACTTTTCCACCTCTTCTGTCCTAACTTTACCCAGCTCAAAGGTGCAATTTTTATTTTTCATAATACGTTCTCTAATATTAACATAGGACGACTCGCAGCTAGATTTTGGTATTCCCTGCCTTAGCTTCTCCACTTTATCAATGAAATAGTTATTAAAATAATTGGCAATATCTAATGGTCTAGTGATGTATGCCCCCTCTGATTCTATAAAGGATGGTGTTGAGTTGTTTTTCCTACCCATGATGGTATTCAAGGTACCCCAGAGCTTTTTTCCATCATGCTTTATATCATTTATATTAATCTCATAATACATTTTCTTCTTCTTTCTGTTCAGTTTTGTCACATTATTTCTTATTTTGCAATATAACTGCCACTCAGAATGATTGCCGGAATTCATTGCTGCCCTTTTTGTTCTGTCTCTATCAGCCATACATTTCTTTAGCTCCTCGTCAATCCATGGTGCCTTTACTGTTTTAACGGTTAACTTCTTAACAGGTGCATGTTTATCCATCACTGGTAACAACAATTTCATGAAAACATCCAGTGCCACATTTGTGTCACTCTATTTAAAAACATTAGACCAACATACTCCCTTAACATCCTCCACATATGAATCACAGCAAAACCCTTTATATGATCTCTTCAGCACTATTTTCGGTCCTGCTTTTGGGACTTTGGCTTTCCTACATATTGCTACAAGGTTATGATCGCTGAAGCCAATTGGTACTGATACCACTTTTGAGCACAGTTCACTTGCGTTTGTGTATATGTGATCAATGCATTTGGATGATGTTGCTCCAGAGCTATTGGTAATTAGCCTGGTTGGTTCATTGATCATCTGATCTAGGTTACATGCACTTGTTACCGTCATCAATTTGTTTTTCAATGAACAGTCTGATGACAGAAAGTCAACATTCACGTCACCCAATAAATATATCTCCCTGTTTTCATCACATGCCTTCTGAATCATTTCACACAATTTATCTAGATAATTACTATCAGAGCTTGGTGGTCTATAGCAACATCCCAGCAACATAGGTTTTAAATGGGGCAGGTGAACCTGCAGCCATACCATCTCTACCTCACTTAACATCAAATCCACCCTATACTTCACAGGAATGTGACTTTGTACATAAAAAGCCACTCTTCCCCCATTGCAGTTTCTATCCTTTCTGTACAAATTGTACCCCTGTATTGATATTGCACCGTCCTCAAACGAGTCATCTATGTGAGTTTCAGAGATGGCCAAAATATGAATATTATTTGATAACATATCCTGAACACACTGAACCTTATTTCTAAGGCTGCAGATATTCAAGTGAACGATCTTTAGCCCTTTCTTAGGTAGTTTAGCATTCACTGACATAAATAGAGATAGACTAACAGAAAATTAAGCACAATGTCCATTACAGTTCTGATGCTAAAGTGCATGTTTGTGTGTGTGTATGTGTGCATCCCTTGTGTGTGTGTGCGTGTGTATATGCATGCACCAAGCTACGAACCCCTTCTGTCTCTTTAGTCCCTTTTCTCAGTCCTCTGAGATGAGTGGCGTGAGTCCGTTCTCTCAGCCCTTTGGGAGGGGGGGATCGGGGGATGGGTGGGGGTTTGCGGAGGATGAACAATTAGTCTGTCGTACCTAATGTAAGCAATGTTCCCTTTGCTCCTT